ACTAGGATTAGAAACATACTTGAGGAAGATTAAGCCAGAAATAGTGAATAGATAAGACAGATTGAAAACAGAAGCCTAAAGTCAAAATGGTCAATGAAAACTACTGTTACAGAAGTTCAGGCTTGTGAGAAAAGGCGACTCAGGTGATGGCTGGTGACTCTCCCGAATGATGAAATGAGGGGATGAGGAAAGGAAGGTGGAAGTCAAGGGTGACTGAGCACTACAACAGAGGCTGTTTTCCCTCTGCTTTCTCTGTCAGGGTGGAAGCAGGGTGTGTGGCTCTTGGCAGCAGAGCAGGTGGTTTTCAGGCTTCCCTCACGGCCGCCCCACGGGTCCCCTCCCAGCAATCCCAGTTCTCCCACGCAAGAACGACACTCATTACATTATCTCAGCCATTTCTGACTCCCCACATGACTGTCCTTTTAGGACTCTTTTTTTCCCCACCAGATTCTTAGGCATTTTGGTGGTTGCTTTTCTGTGGTAGTATGGTGGCCCAGACCCCTTTGAGAATCGTAGGGAAGTTTTAGAGGATTTGTAAACCCTGACTTAACTAACATCTTCTGTGTAAACTCTGTACCCAAAACAACAGTGAAAGCTTACCTCTCTGAGAGCTGTGATAAACAATTTAAGGCTTGTAAGTAAATGGAAAGCTAGTATTTAGAATTTAAGAATTAAAGCTCAGTGAAGTCAAATTCTTTGCAGTGGCCTATGAAGCTCCATCTTCTTTATGATTTGGTCCCTTGCCACTTTTATGTCTCCAGATTCTACTACTTCCCCCTCCCCCACTGCCTTTTAACCCCCACTTTAGGGTCTTTGTTCTGTTAGCCTTTACCTAAATCACTCCTTGCAGACTTCCACCTTACATGCTCCCTCATCTGTCTCCGTTCAAACATCCCGTCTTTTGAAGCCAGTCTTAAACATGTTGGTATATACAGTTTTGTGGGTATGCCTTAGTTTGCTGTAGGATAAATTGCTAAAAGATTACCAGAGCGAAGGATCTACATATTGAAAACACTACTAATTCCAGTTGCTTGCTTACCTTTGCCAATATTAAGTATCACCTACCATCACTTTTTTTTTAACTTTGTTTTTTTTTATTGTATTTTCTTTAAGTTTTGATCACCTGGTGCTCATCACAAGTACACTGCTTACTCCCCGTCATCTATTTACCTATTTCACCCATTCCTCCACCCACCCCGCTCTGGTAACCATCACTTACCTATCATCACTTTGTTAAAGACAGTTGGTGAAAAATATAATCTTAATGTTTTCTTTTGCTTTGTCCTGGTTGCTTGTGAGATTGAATGGCTTCTACTGTTTAGTGGTGATTTGTATTTTTCCCTGAAGCACTGTCAATCCTATTCCATTTTTTATTGGATTGTTGGTGTAAGTGATCTGTCAAAATGTTTTATATATTATAGCAGCTAGCCCTTCGCCTGTTATATATGTTATGTGTATTTTAACTTTACCAGAGGAATATTGCTGCCAGTAATAGAAATAAAGCAGTCATCAAGAAAGTCCTTTTAGCCCAAAGAGTTTGATTTCGAAGGCCTGGCATTAACTGATAAACAGTACCTTTTAACAATAACTGATGAAATTTGCTTAATATGAAGATATGTATTTGTGTATCGTTTTACTTTTATTTAGTTTGCTTTTCTAAGATGACCTTCTTATGGAAGGCATAGAATGAACAGGCAGGGACTTTTTGTGAGGGAACAGGAGGTGCCCATATCTTTTGGTCTCTGATGCTTTGTTCCTGATATCAGGTAAGTGACCAAGCCTTTTAAACATTAGTCCTAAGTTTATGAACGACAGCAAAACTACACCTGTTCCTGTTCTGGTAGAATACTGGCCACCATTATTATTTTTTTTTCAAGATATTATTATTTATTTATTCGAAACAGAGAGAGAACACAAGCAGGGGGATGGGCAGAAGGAGAGAGAACTGAGTCGAAGGCAGACGCCTAGCTGACTGAGCCACCCAGGAGCCCCAGTACTGGTCATTATTAAACAGACTTTCATATGCCAAAGAAAAGCTAGTATTTCATACCCTTTGAAAATATTTACATAAGTCCATTAAACATATATCAGGTATGAATTAAAATCACCCCATCAGAATTATTCCTTTAAATTAGCCTCTTTTTGGTCTGACAACTATCCATTTTCTCATGTATTTTTCCTCATGATTTTTCTTCCCACTAAAGTTGCTCCATACCTACATTGAGTCCTACTACTTTAAATTTTTTTTTTTTAAGATTTTATTTTTTTATTTGACAGAGAGGGATCATAGCAGAGGGAGTAGGAGAGAGAGAAGCAGGCTTCCCGCAGAGCAGGGAGCCCGATGCAGGGCTCGATCCCAGGACCTTGGGATCATGACCTGAGCCGAAGGCAGATGCTTAATGACTGAGCCACCCAGGCGCCCCCTACTACTTTAATTTTAAACTTTTTAAAATTTCTATTATTGAAGAATATATTGGGGATTGGAAATGTTTTAGGTTGGCAGGAATCAGCCATTCCCTAAATGTAAACTTCTGTCCCTAAGCATTTATGCTGGCTCTAGTCCAAGAGTGCCTAACTCTTCCAAATCCCTGAATCTAGAAGTTGGAAGTTGTATTTGTATTTCTGCCATACAAAATTCATAATTCTGTGTTGTCTTATTAAGTTCACTCTAAACCAGAAATCAGTAAAAGACATTGATTTTGCAGACTGATTTTGATGTGCTGAGCTAAATTTATATTGTTCAGCCAATGTTGGAATTCTAAGTCAACAGATTATTAACTTCCTCTCTGTTTCATAATTGCAATGGAAATGAAATCTACTGTCACCTGACACAGAATTAAGGGACAGTCTTTTTTGTTTTTTTCTCTTCTGAGCCAAGATCTTTCTCTTTTATAATTTAAGTGGGAGGTGTTCTCAGTCTGTGTTATAAATGCCATTACTGCAGGGAAGTCCTTGACACAGAAAGCTAGTCTCCCATTTCCTTCAAAATCAAGAATTCAGCCTTTTCCTATCTTTTACATATGCACAGTATGTCCTAAGATGATAATTCAGTACATTCTTATATTCAGGGCTGCCCTCAGCACAGGAAATGCCATGGTGGCTTGCCCTGAATAAGAAGACTGGGACTAGTGGGACTGAGCTGGAAATTCTGTGCCCATCTAACCAGTACAGAAACAGCTCCATTCGGCCCCAGTCATTTGCCAATGTGAATAATGTAAGCTTGCTGTCTTCCATTTATTCAAAAGAATCTGGAATTCCAGATTTTTATGTGAAATATGTTTTTTAAATATTAATTTGATCTTTTGTAAACCTAGTCCGGGCCAAGTAAACTCTTGCGGAGTGCACCCCTGTGCTGCCAATTAAAGTTTTAAATTCTTCTGTCTGACCCTAAAGATTTTCAATGTGAAGTATTTCTAGATTTTTAACAAGATTTTTCTATGCCAAGGTAACATCTTCATGGACATAAAAGACATTTACTGTCTCACTCTACCTGGGAGCTCCATTTATCTGAGTACACACATGCGAATGTATTGCAAGAAGTACTGCGAGCTCTTAGGGATAAAATTCCAAATGTGGTCCATTTTCTTTTCTTTTTAAAGATTATTTATTTTACAGAGAGAGAGAGCGGGCGAGTGCATGCGCATGTGGGGGAGATGGAGAGGGAAAGGAAGAGAATCTCAAGCAGACTCCACCCTGAGCATTGAGTCAGAGTGGGGCTCAATCCCATGACCCTGAGATCATGACCTGAGCCGAAACCAAGAGCTGGACGTTCAACCTTCTGAACCACCCAGGCACCCCTGATACATTTTCAATATAGGAAAAACCTCTTATTCTCAGATAGATCAGGAAATCTTGGATTTCATGATCCTGTTGAGGCTTTTCTTTCTTCTAGTAAAAATGAAGCAAAAATGCTACCTGATATTTGTGATGGAGGAATTTCTAAAAAACAGAATTACTCAGTTAATCATGTCTAATGCATAATAAAAAAATAAAACAAGTAATTCTCAGAAGCATAAGTATAGAACATATGTAGTTTAAGCTATTTAAAGCAGAAATGTGATGAAAAATTTGGGCCTGTCACCAGTTATGTGACCTTTTGAAAAAGGTCTTCTTAATACTGTGCTCATCTATAAAACTGGGATGTGATGATTATCACTTTACAGTTTTAAATAAGTTACAGTAAATGCTTATAGCTGAGGATATAATCATAATTCAGTGAATGTTAATTTCTTTTCCATCCCAGAGGAGAATGTGATATTTGATCTCCACTCAGGTCATTTTGGTTCAACTCTTAGGGGTTCTGATTATTTTTTCAAAATTGAGTGGTATTTAGTTCACCCATGCTCACAGGAGCATTATTCACAGCAGTTAAAAGTAGAAACGATCCAAGTATCCATTGACAGATGAATGGATAAACAAAATGTGGTAGATATGTACAATGGAGTTTTATTCAGCCTTGAAAAGGAAATATGAAACATGCTTGAACATGTTCAACATGTTCAACATGGATGAACTTGGGGATAATATGCTAAATGTGACAAGCCAATCATAAGAAGACAAATACTGTATATTTTGCTTGCTTACAGAACTAGAGTACCTCAGAATTCAGATTTATAGTTTAGAAAGTAGAAAGGTGGTTGCCAAGGGCTAAAGGAAGGGGAACACGAGGAGTTTTTGTTTAATGGATACAGAGTTTCAGTTTCATAAGATGAAGAGAAGTTCTGGAGTTAGATAGTGGTGATATTCTATAACAATGTAAATATACTTAACATTCCTGAACTTACACTTAAAAAAATAGTTCAGATGGTCAATTTTATGTTTTGTATTATTTTATCAAAATAAAACCCCAAACCCAAAACAACCATTAGGTTTTAGACAACACTCCATTACACAGCAAAAATGTGTCAAGTATCCTTTGAAAACTGTGGCTACTTAGTTTTTAAAGCATACTTCAAAGTATATTGAGAGAGAGAGAGAGCTCTTCATTCAGTAGTACCTACCTGTACATTTATACAACATGCCTGTCATGGTTCCAGCTGCTATTGTGTTAAGGTCGTCTTCTGCACCTCGTGTTTTCTCAATGACGACACCAAATGCACTATAGAGCAAAGCTACAGGGGAAATGGAACTGATCAGTAATAAAAAAGTGATTAAATGTCAGTATAGCAATTATATTTAGATAAATATATTTTATAGACGTTCTACAAGCATTCAAATATATATGAAGAATAATTACTGGAATACTATTTGTAATAGCAAAAGCCTGGCACCAAATAAAATGCCCATCAAAGGGTATAGACCAAGAGATGGACTTTCCATATAATGGAATACTATGTACTCCAAACAAAAAGCAGGAAAAACTATATTCACTAGCATGTAAGGCAGGCACATGTGTGGAAACTCGGGATATGCAAAGAAAAATCTTTGGAAAGCTTCAGAAGAAACACGAATAGTAGCTACTTATAAAAAGCACCACTGGGAAGTCCCAGGAAAAATATTTTTAATCTTCACTTATATTTTATTAATAATAGCTAAACTTTGGATTTAGAAACAAAAACACATGCATTTCTATTGTAAGAAAAATGTTAACTTAAAAAAAATTTGAGGTTTGGTTCCAGCACATGTAAAAAACAGTAACACTAGCACTATTTAGTTTTAACAAAATCCTCCCCGAAACTACCTTTCTCCTATACCTGTAAAGATTCCTATTAATCCTTTTCCTTATACTTTCCCAAAATTATACCATTTTTGACCCTTCAATATTACACCAAACTCTGCCTTACAAGTTCTGTTGTGATACTCCTATACTTCTAGAAAGGCTCTTCTTACCAATTCAACTTCTTTAACTGAAACCGAACTTGAGCAGAACATTGTGATTGATCATATTACACTGGGAACACACAAGGCAACTGGCCATCCCAGTTCACCCAGGACTGAGAGTTTCCTGGAACATGAGATTTGCAGTGCTAAAACTAAGACAGTCCCTGGACAGACCAGGATGGCTGATTGCTCTAGGTATATGAACAACCAAACAGAAACAAAGGTGGGTGACTATGTATGGGGTGGGAGCAAAGGTGACATGAGCAGCATACGGAAGCAGTCATTCCCTAGGATCTCAAATGTCAATCTGACTTCATGGTGTGAAAATGTACTGCTTCCAAATCCCATGGCAAAGCTAGGATATTATTTTCTCACAACAGATGCCTTTTCTATTTTTTCAATGAGATGCTTGCATTTTCCCTTACTTAATCTGCCACCATTAAAAGATTTTCAGACTTGCAACTAATTTACAAAGACACTCTTGGCTGTTACAGCGTAGGTACCACAGGTTGTACACTGAGTAATCAAAAGAGTCAATCATTCATAAACAATATAATATGAAAGACTTTGGTCCTAAGTCCTACTAAATTACCCTTTGCTTAGAACTACAAATGTTTTCATTATATCTACAAAGGCCCTATTACAACTATGGAAATTAGGTCTGGGAAATCTCTGAGGTAAACAGAATGCTGAATGGGCTATTAGGAAAACATAGGAAGAGGGATGAAATTAATCTATCATATCTTACTACAGGACCTTGAACCTTTCTTAACATACAAAGGCATCTGACTTGGACCTAAATTATGCAGATTTCTTATTTACTTAAAACATGATTTGGCATCTTGCTTGGAAAGGAGAATATGTAATGTTTAAAAAGACTTTTAAAACACTGGTATTAGCAACTGGAATTACTTTGTTATGTTGTTCATGGTCTTTTCTTAAATATTATCTACACTATTCATCACAGTAGATTTAACTATAATTTTTAATATCATATGGCCAGAATTTTGGTTGATCCAATTGTTCACGGTAATATACACTCTTCTTTGCATTAACGATTTATTATTAAGTGAGATCTCTACTTACCCAGAGAACCTAGAGTATTAGCCCAAAGTGCCCCTTGCCTAGTCACCATGTTCAAAATCCTACCAGGGCAGAAAGAGAAAGAATCTGTGCTTAGAATCACCATTTCTCTAATTCGAAAAATCATAACTATAGCTATTTACAATGTATAAATCCAATACCCAAAGTTTTCTTAATTTTATTTTTATTTATTTTTAAAAGATTTTATTTATTTGAGAGAGAGAGAGAGAGGGAGAGAG